TCCCCAGGGGCGGGGAGCGGGGAATGAGGGGTCTCAGGCATGGGATCTTGTTCGTGGTTGGCAGGCTGGGTCCTGCCGAGGTCGTGCCCTCAGGGCCCCCTGCTTTGGTCCGGCAGCTGGGGCTGAGCCCGAGACCCCTAGGGGCAGGCACCAGGCCTAGCAGCTCTGTGTCCCAAGAGGTCCGCCCTCTGTGCGAAGCTTCTGCTGACATCACAGGAAGAGGGGGACTCCCTGCCCAGCTCCCCAGGGCCCTTCCTGGGCTTTCAGGGCCACAGACGTTATCACACCAAGTGGCAAAAGTGGTTTCTGGACCTGACTTTTATGTTCCCACACCACTCCAGGAGCATCCGGGGCGCCCATCGGCAGCCCAGCCCAAACCCAGAGCCTAGCGCGCGTGAGGCACGTGGAAAATGCTCCTTGAACTGAACCAGGCTCCGTTGTGCTGTGACTGGCGGTCCAGGCTGGTGCTGAGGGCAGAGGGCCCGGCTCTCAGCTGGGACGGGGGCTGGGCAGATAAACCTGGTACAGCAGCCAGACCGATGGGCGGAGAGTCGGGAGGCCGGCAGCCCAGGCCAGAGCCCCCACCCTTCCATCCCAGCCCAGTGCACGGGTATGATGCCCAGGTGTGTGGCCCAGGTGTGGTACACAGGTGAGGTGCACAGGGGAGCCATGCATTTGCCAAAATGTCTCTTGGGTGCTGACTTCGTACTGCGCTCCGCTTAGCATATCTGTCACTTGCCGAACACTCACTGAGCACCTACTGTGGGCCAAGCCCTGGGCTGCAGCCGGGACCCAGAGCTGAAGGCCAGGCTCCCTGCCTTCAGGACTTCCCATTCCAGGGGGGAGGAGGAGGTGAGGGGCATGCCCAGCTGCTACTGCTGTTTATCACGGCCCCCAGGCCCGGCCGGCTCCGGCCCAGGGTGCTCGCCCGGGGTGCAGAGGGACCGCCGTCTAACAGTGCATCTGAGACAAAAGGTCAGGTCTGAGCCGCTACAGTATGAAAGGAAAGCCAACTTCACGACGGGGGAGATGCATGCAAATGTCATGTTATTATCACTCAGAAAACTGTATTTTCCCTTCAAGTCACGAAATGCTACCCCGCACCCACCTTTTAAGTCTGCAATCAGAGGTCAGAGCTGCAAGTCCAGGGGACAGACGGCCCCTCACGCAGCCCTGGGGACAGGGCGGTCACAGTGGCAGGCAGGGTGAGGGCCGAGCTGGCTCGAGGGCGGACACAGCCTGTCCCCCGACACTGGCTTCTGGGGGGGTTGCCTCTTTCTGCTGAAGCCATGAGGTTTGGGCAGGGCCTCATCTTCCTCCCGTGCCCCGAGTTGCAGGGCGGCCCCATGAAGGGAACTCTGTGGGCGCTGAAGTGCCCACCTCTGGTGGTCCATCCAGGCGCCTTGGAACTTGGGGACCTACTGACTCTTCCACCGGGCACTGGTGGATTGGTGTTGTGTTTTTTTCCCGATTATCATGTGAATTGTTTTACATGCAGTCCCTGTAACCCCTGAAGCACTCCACGGGAAGAAAATGCGTCCTGAAGCACCAGCCGAGCTCGAGGCCCCCACGCCCTGGAGGGAAGGCGTGGCGCAGAGGTCCAGGCCGGAGCCGGCGGAGCTGCCGGAGCCCCCACGACCCGGCCCGGCCCGGCTGTGCGAGCTGGTCCCCTGCGGCTGTCCTGATGCACAGCCACAGAGTCACGGGCTCCAAACCGCGCACCCCTCTTCTCACAGTACCAGAGGCCGCAGTCGGCCGGGCTGTCCTTCCGGGGGCTCCTGGGCGGACGCGATCTCGCTGCCTCGAAGGCCCCTGCATTCCGGGACGTGAGGTCCCTCCTCCACCTCCAAAGCAGTGGGTGGAGCATCCTGCAGCCCCTCCCCGTTTCGGTGGTTACGCCTCCCTTTCTCATCTGACCTTACAAGGTTCCTTCTAACAAGGACCCTCCCTCGCGTTAACAGAGGGCCCACCAGATAACCCAGGGTCACCTTCCCAGCTGAAGGTGCCTACTCACACCTGCAAGGCGCCTTCTGCCGTGAAAGGTAATACGTCCGTGGGTTCCAGGGATTAGGGCGTGGACATCTTTGGGGGGAAGGTGCATTCATTATAAGCCTGGCACACCCTTTGGCCCTGGGCAAGTCAGTGCATAAGGCTGGCCCGACCCCTGTCTGCCATGACCGGGTATGTGTCTCCAAAAATCCTTCCTGTGCAGAGAGCCCTCAGTGTTTGCAGCCGCGCCCCACCCGAGTCCTGCTAGGGCAGTTTTAGGTTTACAGGTAAATTGAGTGGAAGGTACAGAGTTTCCCATACACCCTCCTCTCCCCACGTACCCACAGCCCCGCCCCCCCACTCCCATCAGCATCCGCCAGCAGAGTGTGTGACAGCTGTAGGCGAGCCTAGAGCGACACGCCATTGTCACCCAGGGTCCGTGGTCTACATTAAGATTCACTCTTGGTGCGGTACCTTGTGTAGGTTCAAACGAATGTGTGATGACGTGTATACATCTCACTACAGCACAGTGAAGAATAATTCCACTGCCCTAAAACCCTCTGTGCGCCGCCTACTCACCCCTCCCTCCCCCAGCCCCTGGCAACTACTCTCCACTGTCTCCATAGTGTTGCCTTTCCAGAATGTCATGGAGAGCTGGAATCATACAGTATGCAGGCTTTTCAGATGGACTTCTTTCACTTAGTCATATGCGTCTAAGGTTCCCCTGTGCCTTTTCGTGGTTTGATAACTCATTTCTCTTTCGTGCCAAACGCTCCTCCGTCGTCTGAACATGCCAGTTTACCCGTCACCTACAGAACGACACCTTGGTTGATTCCAAGTTTTGTCAGTTTTTAATCTAAGTGCAGGTTTTTGTGCGAAACTAAGTTTCAGCTCCTTTGGGTGACCCCCAAGGAGCGTGGTTGCCGGGCCGGCCGGGAAGCGCGGGTTTCGCTTTGCAGGGGGCCGCCAGAGGCCCTGCGCAGGGGCCGCGCCGTCCGCGTGCCCACCGGCAGCGGGCGAGGCGCCTGCTGCTCCGCCCTCGTCAGCGTCCGTGGTCGGTGCTGCGAGTTTTCACCGCCCTGCTAGGGACCCAGGGGTGTCTCGCGGCCGTTTCAGTCTGCGTTTCCCTGATGACTGGGACACGGAGCCTCTTCACATGCTTGTTTGCCATTGTCTGTCTTCTTCGGGGAGGCATCCAATAAGGTCTTTGGCTAGGCACGTATTATAACCGTTCTGAGCCTCAGCTTCCAGTTCTATAAAGTGGAAACAGATAATACCTGTTTCAGTCAGGGTCCCAGCAGAAGACAGAATGTACCCCAGGCGGTCAAGAGGAGAGGCAGGACGACAGGGACTCACTGGCTCACAGAGGTGGGGTCGGTCAGGGAGCACCCGGAGGCCGGCCCTGGAGGACCAAGCCGAGAACTTGGGGTTTCCAGCGGAAGCGGGTGGGGGCCCAGCATGGAGCGCAGGGCCGGTGCTGGGGAGACCCCGCCCTCTGTCCGCTCCCTGATTCCAGCGCCGCCTTCCATTGGCCAGACCCAGCCAGGCACCAGAATGGGCTGCGCCCCCCAGGGTGGGCACAGAGCCCCGCAGTGAATGGACCTGGGGGGACAGGGGTGCCACAGGTGAAAAGTGACTGGCACCGCCCACTGTCTGATCATTGATTCACTCGTTATTCCCACAAACGTCTATTAGGTGCCAAACACTGTCTTAACCACCAGGGATGCTCAGGGTGAGAAAAAGACACAAGCCCCCCCTCGTGGGGAATATACAACCTGCGGGACAAAGTAAACAAAGAAACGAGCAAGGGTAGGACATAAAGCCAAGTGCAAACGGAAGGAGGAGAAGAGCAGGGCGGGGGGAGGGAGGAAGGGGAGGCTGTGGCAGGGGTCAGGAGCCTGACACACTCACCACGTGCTCGCTCCGGCTGGCCTCTGCCCGCACGCGCTCTCCCCCTCTGGGACACCCTGGCTTGCGGCTCGAGGGGGCTCGCCCACCCCAGGACCCAGGGGGACACCATCGGCCCCCTCCCTCTCCTGGACTTCAGTCACCAGGAAGGCCTGCCCCATTTTAACACTGTTCCTGGGGGTCCAGAGGCTTAACTTCACGAGCAAAAATATTTGCACGATTGCATTTCAAACTTCCCATCGCTACTGTGAACACATGAGAACCAGTAGCCATCGCTGCCGCCCGCGGGGACGCCCCAGCCAGGCCCCCAGACCAAAGCAGCTCCAGGCTTTCTGGCGTCCACCTGGTGTCCACCGGGCCCTGACGGTTAATCGGAGGGTTCTTGGTCCACGGGCCACCTCCACCCCACTGGAGTGCCACGAGGGAGGCAGGACGAGTCTTTTTAAGTGCAGGGTGTGGGGCCTCCGGCTTGGGAACCCCCTGGAGCGCTTGTTGAAGCCCAGATTCCCGGCACGGCCCCAGATTCTGTGAGTCTGAGTGCGGCCCAAGAACTCGAATTTCTTACCAGTTCCGGTGGTGCTCCTGGAGCGGTCTAACCCTAGCCTAGGGCTATTTAGATGCTGGAGGCGTGTGTTTGCTGCGTCTGCCCCCTAGCCCAGAGCAGGGACTGAATCTGACAGCCGATTTCCCCTTCCGGCTCCCAGCGCCCCCCACAGGCCAGGGCTTGGGGAGGGGCGCTCAGGGGACGTTAGAAAGCCCCCGCGGGGTGGGTCACTGGCCAGAGAGCCGATCTGGGCCACTGGGGTAAGCAGGAAGCCCCCTTCCGCGGCGGGCACCACCCACAGCCTGCGCAGTGCACTGGGGTGGGGGATCCGGGCGGGGGCTCTCCGGCCCCGGCTCCCAGCTCGGGCGGCTCCTGCCCCGGCGGGCCCGGGTCCGTGGACGTGCCCGCAGCCCCACTCGCCACCTCGCGCGGGTCTCCCCGCAGCCCGTGGTCCGGGCGGCGGTGGTTGCGCGGGGCGTGCTGCGCGGGCCGGGGAGGCGGGGCGGGGCGGGGCGGGGCCTCCACGTCCCCCGCCCTCAGCCCCGGGCTCCGGCTCAGCGCGGAGGCAGCGGCGGCGGCAGTGGCGCGGGGACCAAGGTGAGTGGCGGCGACGGTCCCGGAGGCCCCGCCGGGGGAAGGGTCCGGGTGGGCCGAGGGTGACACGCGCGCCGCTGCGGAGGGCGGGGGCCTGGGGCTGCGCGGGCGGAGTGGCGTGTGCGCGCGCGCGCGCCTGTGTCGCGCCGAATGCGGAGACATGGGGTGGGGTAGAGGGTCCGCCTTGGGTGGGGGTCCACCCTCTCGCACCTGGTCTCTTCCGGGACCTCCCCAGCTCTTCCTCTCTCCCAGTCTCTCTCGCGCCCCCCCCGCCCCGCCCCGCCCCCCTTTCCTTACCTGTCTCTGAGTTTCTCCGGGTCTCTGTGGGTGCGTCTCTGCCTGTCAGTGCAGCCGCTCGTCCAGCGCCTCGTTTCCTAATCTTCCCTCCAGGCACTGCCCCCTCGCCCGCGGAGCTCTCCCTCCCTTTCCATTGCCCCCTTCACTGAGCAAACAAAGATGGTGAGGGAGGGAGACACCTCCCTTAGCTGTCTGTCCTGGCTCAGCCAGGGGGCCCCACCCCTCCGGCCAGACCGGGCCTCCGCCACCTTCCTGCAGGGGGCTGGCCCTGCAGAGTGTGGGGGTGGGTTTGGAGCAGCGGGCTCCTCCGAGGGCAACGGGCAGCAGCCCCTGGGCTGGAGCAGCGGAGGGTCTGTGCCCTCGAGCCTGGGGACAGCACCTCCCACACGCATCTCTTGAGAGATGTGCACCGGGCAGGTCTGCCTGGTCAGGGGCCTGGGCCTCTGGCAAAATCAGGTCATGCACCAGACCCTGTTCACGTGAGCAAGGCCGGACACTTTCTAAGGTTTTTTTTTTTTCCCTCCACGGAGCCAAGGTAGGGAGAACTTGCTGGGCCGGAGGAGGGTCGCTGGCCCGCGGGTCCTGGGGTGTTGTCGGCTCTGCCCACCCGGCCACTTCCTGCTGGCAACCTCCATTTCCCCATCCGCGGCCTGGGCAGCTGTGAGGTCTGTGTGCAGCTGCCCTGAGGACGCGGGGGACGGCCATCGCTGTCCAGGCGATTGGTGACGCTCTTAGTGAGAGCGGGGCTGTGCCCAAGTTCCCCAAGCTCCCAAAGCCCATCGCTGGGCTGCGCCGGGGGTGGGGGCGCTCCCTCAGACCTCCTGGGTGGGGCCCAGCGCGAGAGCCTGTCCTGGGGTGTGAGCTAGGGCTCTGGGAATGGGGTTGGGGACCACTGCCTTGTCCTCTTTAATGACAGAGCTTGACAAAATGCCTCTTTGTGGGCTCCTGTCCTGACTCCGGATGGGGGCACCGGGAATTTGCGTTTCCCAATCCACCCCCATTCTGATGCGCATTCAGATGCGAGCGCCCCTGGATGGTGGCCGGGGTGCCGGGACAAGGTCACCCAGCTCCCTCACTGGCTGGCAGGCAGTGGGGTGGACCCAAGAGGGTCTTAGCCAGGAGGCCACGGCCCTGCTGTGTGCCTGGGCAAGCCACTGTCCCCCTCCGAGCCCAAGTCCCATCCGTCAGGACACCGAGGCCTCCCAAGGATTTTGCTGCCAAATGACCTGGGATGCTGAGCCCTTTGTTTAGAATGTGGGTTGGGGCTGGGGGGTCATGCTCCGTAGAGCTGGGCAGGCCTGGGTCAGCATCCAAGGCCACCGCTAGCTGGCTGTGTGGCCCTGGGCAAGTCACTTTGCTTCTCTGGGCCTCAGTTTCTCATCCCAGAACTGGGAGTCACGTGACCCAGCCCTTTCGGGTAGTGGGAGCACAATGTCCAATGCCTCAGAAGCCCACTCTCAAGGTGGGTGTTCCAGCCCCCGGGAGCGGCTGGCATGGTGTGTGCAGGAGGCCCTTTCGACCTTCTGGGGACAGGGACAGCCCCGTGGACTTAATTTCTCATCCGTGGGGAAAGCGGTCTCTGCAGCAACATTGGTTGGCTAATGGAGCTTCTTGTTTCTAATGGACGGCTTAAAAGCCCCGGTGATGGCCGAGCGGAACTGCCTGGTTGGGCTTGGGTGGCACTTGGAGGGCCCAGGCCGGGCGGCCGGGCCAGCTCTCTTGCCCGCGCGTCCCCAGCAGCACCCAGCAGGGTCAGGAGAGCAGAAGCCAAGGAGGGACGGGCGAGGAGACAGAGGGGAAAGCCCGGACCCTCCCCAGGTGCCCTGAGGTGTGGGTGTCCGTGGACATAGACGAAATACTCTCCCAGGACGTCTGTGAGGAGAGTACAGCTCTCATGAGACGCCCATAGAAGGGACAGAGGAAGTCACTCTCCCTCATTCACAGGTCTCTCAGGCCTGGCAGGTGGCCAGGAGACCCAGGTGGGAAAATGTGGCTGGACAGGGAGCTACGGGGACCGCCAGTGGTCCTCGTAGCCAAACAGCAGGGCAAGACGCCTGCTGTAGGGCCAGGGATCCGAGGGTGGCCCTTGGGGTCCAGGCACTGAGAAGGACCGACCGCCTCCTGGGCGAGAGTTGGGAGACAGGAATTAGAGCCTTGGGCTGTTGTAAAGACTTGGGTTAGTGGGACAATGAAGTGGCTTCCTGGGGACCATACAACCCTCTTTTCTTTTAACCACATCCCTCTTTTATGTCTCAAAATTGAATCTTGGTTGGGGAGCACCGTGTGGGGCGGGGGCTTTGAAGTCTGCCTGTGAGCAGGGGCCTCTGACGCGGGAACCCCCCATTCCCAGGGCCGGGGCGCCCACAGGCCTAGGCCCTGGCCTCAGCCCTCCACTCTGGGAGGCGAGGCCCGGAGGAACGGCCCAGCCGGGCCTGGGCTCGGGGGTGGGGCGGCCGGCGCTGGCCAGCGCAGAGTCAGGCCTGCCCGGCAGCGCCATTGGGCAGCTGGGTGGCCTTGGGAAAACCACCCAGCTTCTCTGAGCAGCGGGGACAGAGGAGGAGTCGGCCGCTGCACCACCACTGACTGTCCGCATGCCTGGCAGGTGGCAGGTGCCCAGGCCAGGCCCCTGATGAAAAGCTCATGGAGAAAAGATCTGCGGCTCATTTCAGCTCGGGGTATTGCCCTCCTTCGTCCTGACTCCACAGCCTGGCTTTATCTCTCGAAGGCAAGCACCTACTGTGCGCAAGGCCTGTGTGAAGACTCCCCCAGGCACCGGCCCACTCACCCTGCCCCAGTCAGACCAGAGGGGAACAAGGCCCAGCCAGCCAACAGGTGGGCAAGCGGAGGCTCAGAGAGGCCGGGGACTGCCTTGTTTTTTCACTTAATGTAACACGATGAGCGCGTGCCCTGTTCCCCATCGGGCTGGTCTTCCCAAATAGGGATGGTGATCTGATTAATGGCTGGACCACATCCTGCCTGGCGGGTGTCTCATCGTTTGACTTGGAGCACATCCGCGCTCAGTGGCGCCACCACGTGGACAGTGATGTAAAAAGCAGGTGTGGACCGCGAGGCCATGCCCCCAAGGCCCAGCAGAACAGCTGGTCAGCGGGGCCTGGCCGAGGCTGCGTGGCCTGCGGCAGGGCCCCTCCCCTCTCTGAGTCTCACACCCCTGCTCTGCTATGAATTGGGGGTAAGAGCCCCATGTCACAGGGCTGCTGGGGGAATGAGTGAGCGGATGTGATGTCCCATCTCAGGCAGGTGACGGGGACCTGAAACTCGGTGGTTATTATTACTGTTGTTGTTATTACTACTTAGGCCTTATCGCCCCAGTTAAATCGTGGGCCTCTGCCAGCAGGAGCCAGGCTCTGAGCATGCCCGTGTCCCACCCCCAACACGCTCCGTCACATTTACTGATTGGATTCCTGACCTCCGTGTCCCCCCAAGTACAGTGTCTCCTTGTGGGTGAGGCACTGGGACATTTATACAATCCCACCTTGCCCCAAATTTACATAACATCGGCTCCATTTCAAAAACAGGCTCAGAGAGTGCGGTGGTCCAGCCCAAGGTCATGGAGTCAGGAACGCTTCCTGGAGGTGGTGGCAGTGCCCTGGGCCAGCAGCGCGGGGCACCTGACTGGGCTGAGGGGCAGCGGGCGGGCGTGTTTTAGACCTGGGGAGAGGAAGATGGGGGCCATCCCGGGCCAGAGCTGAGCCTGGCGCCCAGCACCCAGCTCAGGAGGGTGCAGGATGTGGCCTGGGCTAGGCTGGGCTGGCCTGAAGTCACCACCGGACAGCAGTGAGCCAGCTTCCCGGGCTCCTGACCTCCCCCACACCCCTCCCGACCGCTTCCTTCTGTCCGGGCAGGAAGGGGTGCTCCTTGGGCTTGGAGGCGGCAGACACCTTCCTGGGGACTGCTCCAGGGATAAAATATTTATCAGAAACGCTGGCAGCTGGGCTTCCCCGCACGGGGTGAAGCCAGGGGCAGCCCCCAGCCCAGGCCTGCCTCCTCGCCGCATCCCGCTGAGTCACGGGGAGCCAGGGCCCGCAGCCTGCAGCCTCCTCGCCCCTCTGCCCTTTGGCCACGTGGATGCCTCCTAATGTGTAAGCCATCTGGCTGCCCGCGAGGCCGGGGCATCCAGGGCGGTCAGTGCTGAGGATTCCAGAGCTCACCCCGCAGGAGGGCGCAGGGCTCGGCCAAGGGCGCAGGCAGCGAAGGCCAGGGGGCCGGGACCCTCCTGCACCCACCCTGCAGGGTCGCGCGTCCTGATTCCTCACGGCGCCCCCCCACCCCGCAAGGTAGGCGGTCCTCTGGCACGTCCCTAGCAGCGGGGACCTGAGGGGGGGCTCTGAGCCAGGCGCACCAGCCGTGTCACGGCTGCTGGTGGCTGAGCGGAGGTTTGGCCCTTGACCGACTCCCGTCCCGCCGTGCCCGACTCTGAGTCAGAGCCTGGGTGTCCCTCCTTCTTGATCCGAAACGGAGCTGTGACTTCAGGTTTGTCGTTTTGATTTCCAGAGTAACGGCAACAAAAAAAAACAGTAGCAGATGGCGTCTTCGTACAGCCGCGCTGAGCGGGAGGATGATGGGTGTCCAGGCGCTTTTGTTCGCTCATTCATAACACGCTCTGGGTGCGCGGGCCAGGGCCTGGGGGTGGGGCGGCCGGCTGTCCACATGCCTGGCAGGCCCCGGCCCGTGGGGCAGGCGCCCGC